TGACCTTCTGCGTGATCGTCGGGAAGTCATTGCACCTCTTGGGGAAGTGAGCCAAAGACGTGAGTCCAAGCTTTTGTCCCCCTCTGACTCGGATGCCTTGTACAGCCGTGCCAAATCTGCGGAACCAGCTTTGCCCTGGATGATTTCAGGGTGCAGTTGAGTTGCAGCTCTAGGGCACATCGTGGCATTTTGTGGCATGTGTGCATGTAGGTCTCAGCATGCCTTGGTGCATGTAGCACCACTTCTGACATGATTCCTTGTTGCTGCCTACGTTGGCAACAGGAAGTCAACAACTCCCCTGTGAAATGGGAAGAAAGAAGAGCGCTGACAGAATGAAGCACTTGCGCTTCTTGCTGAAGCAGCTGTTGCTGGATGGATGGCATATCCTGCCTGGCCGGCCAGGGAATGAGTTGAGTGGCATGTTGGCATTTGGTGTAAAGGCATGGAGCCATGGACATATAGGCCTATATTGACAGGCAACGCAAACATGCACTGTGGCAATGTGTATGTTCTGCCTGGTTTGGCTCGAAGAGAGGGAGGAAGCTCTGTGAAACAGCTGTGGCCTTGTGCTCTTTAGCTTGCTTCAAAACCATGCAGAACCCAGGCCCGACTCCGGACTGGCATTCATGTGAACGGAAGGATCCTGCCAGTGGCTTTTGTTTTCGTTTGCCAGAAGTGACATGTACTTGCCGCGTTGCCGTTACTTGGTTTTCTCAAATAGGACCCGGAGGCCTTTTATGGCACAGATACCAACACGGGGGCATCCGCTGCTTTGAAGGATGGCCTGCGCTTCTTGTGTGATTGGGCCAGCATGGCCGGCCTTCAATGGCCTTCAACTGACTTTCGGAGCTCTAAAGCAGTCAACCTGTGATTCTCCTGTGTTTCTTTGACAGGCCAGCAGGTGACCGAGTTTGCCCAGCAGCGCTCCGTGAGCACTCTGTTGGCTCGTGCGCGTGCCCGAAGTGCTGGCGCCGCAGTGCCCTTTGCGTCGCAAGGGCTGGTGGAGAACTCCGAGTCTGGACGAGGACAAGGGTGCCATAGTGCCAGGCTTATGTAACTTATGTATTGAAGCGATGAGCCACGTTTTGTTCTGCCAGAAGCAGTAGACTGAAACAGTCCAAATGTGCTACTCATTTTACAACAGGCCGTTAGATTAGTGTAGAGCATCCCACGGGTGTCATGTTTGTGATGTTTCATATGTTTCATATGTTTCTGATGTGTATGATGAGATCGACGCGCAAAGCACATGATTGATGCTCATGCAAAGCCCCCCCCCATTCCACCAGTATGTTTATCATATGTTCAATGCGTATGGTGAAGCCGACGCTCGAAACCGCATGTTTATGCATGATTCATCATCATGTAGGGGTTGATGTGACGCGCAGGATACACCCTTGGCCGCGAGTACCCCACCGCAGGCAGCGGATGCATGCTGACCAGCGTTCTGGCACCTGTTGGGGTGAGCCTGACCTTCTGCGTGATCGTCGGGAAGTCATTGCACCTCTTGGGGAAGTGAGCCAAAGACGTGAGTCCAAGCTTTTGTCCCCCTCTGACTCGGATGCCTTGTACAGCCGTGCCAAATCTGCGGAACCAGCTTTGCCCTGGATGATTTCAGGGTGCAGTTGAGTTGCAGCTCTAGGGCACATCGTGGCATTTTGTGGCATGTGTGCATGTAGGTCTCAGCATGCCTTGGTGCATGTAGCACCACTTCTGACATGATTCCTTGTTGCTGCCTACGTTGGCAACAGGAAGTCAACAACTCCCCTGTGAAATGGGAAGAAAGAACAGCGCTGACAGAATGAAGCACTTGCGGCTGTTGCTGGATGGCATATCCTGCCTGGCCGGCCATGTTGGCATCTGGTGTAAAGGCATGGAGCCATTGACATATTATAGGCCTATATTGACAGGCAACGCAAACATGTGCTGTGGCAATGTGTATGTTCTGCCTGGTTTGGCTCGAAGAGAGGGAGGAAGCTCTGTGAAACAGCTGTGGCCTTGTGCTCTTTAGCTTGCTTCAAAACCATGCAGAACCCAGGCCCGACTCCGGACTGGCATTCATGTGAACGGAAGGATCCTGCCAGTGGCTTTTGTGTTCGTTTGCCAGAAGTGACATGTACTTGCCGCGTTGCCGTTACTTGGTTTTCTCAAAGAGGACCCGGAGGCCTTTTATGGCACAGATACCAACACGGGGGCATCCGCTGCTTTGAAGGGTGGCCTGCGGTTCTTGTTGTGATTGTTCAATGGCCTTCAACTGACTTTCGGAGCTCTAAAGCAGTCAACCTGTGATTCTCCTGTGCTTCTTTGACAGGCCAGCAGGTGACCGAGTTTGCCCAGCGGCGCTCCGTGAGCACTCTGTTGGCTCGTGCGCGTGCCCGAAGTGCTGGCGCCGCAGTGCCCTTTGCTTCGCAAGGGCTGGTGGAGAACTCCGAGTCTGGACGAGGACAAGGGTGCTATAGTGCCAGGCTTATGTAACTTATGTATTGAAGCGATGAGCCACGTTTTGTTCTGCCAGAAGCAGCAGACTGGAACAGTCCAGATGTGCTACTCATTTTACAACAGGCCGTTAGATTGGTGTAGAGCATCCCACGGGTGTCATGTTTGTGATGTTTCATATGTTTCTGATGCGTATGATGAGATCGACGCGCAAAGCACCTGATTGATGGTCATGCAAAGCCCCCCCCCCCGTCCCACCAGTATGTTTATGATATGTTCAATGCGTATGGTGAAGCCGACGCTCGAAACCGCATGTTTATGCATGATTTATCATCATGTAGGGGTTGATGTGACGCGCAGGATACACCCTTGGCCGCGAGTACCCCACCGCAGGCAGCGGATGCATGCTGACCAGCGTTCTGGCACCTGTTGGGGTGAGCCTGACCTTCTGCGTGATCGTCGGGAAGTCATTGCACCTCTTGGGGAAGTGAGCCAAAGACGTGAGTCCAAGCTATTGTCCCCCTCTGACTCGGATGCCTTGTACAGCCGTGCCAAATCTGCGGAACCAGCTTTGCCCTGGATGATTTCAGGGTGCAGTTGAGTTGCAGCTCTAGGGCACATCGCGGCATTTTGTGGCATGTGTGCATGTAGGTCTCAGCATGCCTTGGTGCATTTAGCACCACTTCTGACATGATTCCTTGTTGCTGCCTACGTTGGCAACAGGAAGTCAACAACTCCCCTGTGAAATGGGAAGAAAGAAGAGCGCTGACAGAATGAAGCACTTGCGGCTGTTGCTGGATGGCATATCCTGCCTGGCCGGCCATGTTGGCATCTGGTGTAAAGGCATGGAGCCATTGACATATTATAGGCCTATATTGACAGGCAACGCAAACATGTGCTGTGGCAATGTGTATGTTCTGCCTGGTTTGGCTCGAAGAGAGGGAGGAAGCTCTGTGAAACAGCTGTGGCCTTGTGCTCTTTAGCTTGCTTCAAAACCATGCAGAACCCAGGCCCGACTCCGGACTGGCATTCATGTGAACGGAAGGATCCTGCCAGTGGCTTTTGTGTTCGTTTGCCAGAAGTGACATGTACTTGCAGCGTTGCATTGACTTGGTTTTCTCAAAGAGGACCCGGAGGCCTTTTATGGCACAGATACCAACACGGGGGCATCTGCTGCTTTGAAGGATGGCCTGCGGTTCTTGTTGTGATTGGGCCAGCATGGCCGGCCTTTAATGGCCTTCAACTGACTTTCGGAGCTCTACAGCAGTCAACCTGTGATTCTCCTGTGTTTCTTTGACAGGCCAGCAGGTGACCGAGTTTGCCCAGCAGCGCTCCGTGAGCACTCTGTTGGCTCGTGCGCGTGCCCGAAGTGCTGGCGCCGCAGTGCCCTTTGCTTCGCAAGGGCTGGTGGAGAACTCCGAGTCTGGACGAGGACAAGGGTGCCATAGTGCCAGGCTTACGTAACTTATGTATTGAAGCGATGAGCCACGTTTTGTTCTGCCAGAAGCAGCAGACTGAAACAGTCCAGATGTGCTACTCATTTTACAACAGGCCGTTTGATTGGTGTAGAGCATCCCACGGGTGTCATGTTTGTGATGTTTCATATGTTTCTGATGTGTATGATGAGATCGACGCGCAAAGGACATGATTGATGGTCATGCAAAGCCCCCCCCCCCCGTCCCACCAGTATGTTTATGATATGTTCAATGCGTATGGTGAAGCCGACGCTCGAAACCGCATGTTTATGCATGATTTATCATCATGTAGGGGTTGATGTGACGCGCAGGATACACCCTTGGCCGCGAGTACCCCACCGCAGGCAGCGGATGCATGCTGACCAGCGTTCTGGCACCTGTTGGGGTGAGCCTGACCTGCTGCGTGATCGTCGGGAAGTCATTGCACCTCTTGGGGAAGTGAGCCAAAGACGTGAGTCCAAGCTTTTGTCCCCTGCATTTAGCACCACTTCTGACATGATTCCTTGTTGCTGCCTACGTTGGCAACTGGCAGTCAGCAACCTTCTTTTGCATTGGCGGAAGAACAATACGGGTTGGCGGATACCAATGTTGGGGATGGTGATGGTGAGGCTTGGCGAATGGGCGTGTTTGTTCCACTTGACCCTTCTGTGCATTGCATTGTTTCTGACAAGTTTTAGTATTGCCAAGCCATGAACGCATGGCGAGTGCGGGTGTTCATTTTGGTGACTCCCCCAGAATGGTTTGTTTTGGTTTTTGTATTTATTGGTGTCCCTTGAACAAGAGCCACAAAAGGATATCCAGCAACAAAAGCCTAGGTGGTATCAGGTCATTCACGGCGTGTTCTGCGGCTGACGTCGTTCGAAGGGAGAAAATCAAAAACTTGAAGTTTCTGTGGACATGTAGCTGGCTCCAAAGTCATGCAGACCCCAGGCACGACACTCACTGATTGGCAAGGTTAAACATCTCGGCTTGTGAGAAGCGGAACTGCTTCATGCTTCACACCATCGTGCCATGATATCTGGAACTCAATAGTGTGTGTGTGTGTGCGTGTTAGCAAGAAATTATTATTTTATATACTTCAATCAGGCTGGACAGCTGGTTGATGCAGTTGGCTGCCTTTCTTTCAGCTTTACTTTTCGAACATGTGGGAGTCGTTTGAAAGGTCCTTTTGTTTGAACATAAGGGACATGCCATTTGATCTTATGTGTGCCCTTCGAAAGCTCCGCGATGGACCTCGCCTCCGTTTGTTGCGAACGTTCTGTGATAATAGCCCTGCGAAAGTGGAGTTGCGTGTTTTCGCTAAGATGGCATGTCCCGAGCAAGGATTGATAGAAACCGCCATGTGCAAAAAGAATAATTACGTGCAGAGAAGAAGCCACGTTTGCTGCGGTAGGTGGTGACATTCTGCATGGGGCAGTGCGGAAGTACTGGCGTGCTTGGGTGTTGCTTTGACAGGCCAGCAGATGGCCGAGTTTCCTTGCAGCGCTCCATGAGCACTCTGTTGGCCTGTGCGCTTGCCCGAAGTGCCCTCTGCCTGTCAAGGGCTGGTGGAGAACTCCGAGTCCGGACCGGTGCCATGATGACATTTACAGTGTTTGGTTGCACACCTTGCTGTCACAAGCATGGACTACATGGCCATCATCAACATTTTGTCAGGAATGGCGTTATTGTGGGAAACAAAAAAATGGCATGCCCCGCCACAACTTCAGGTGCACCCGAAGAGGTACTCCGGTTCCGCAGGTGCGGCACCGTACGAGGCCGGTCTTAAGTCGGATCACTTGCCCAAGAGGTGCAGGGTAGAAGGTTAGGCTCACCCCAACCGGTGCAAGAACGCTGGTGCACTTTGGCGATGGAGTTGCTCAAACCGGTTTGAGTAACTCCATCGCCAACTTGCAATTGTGCAGCTTCAATGGAAGGCCTCAGAGACCTATGGGCCCGGTCGTGTCTTTATACGACTGTTTGCTGCTAGTTGACCATGTTAGTGACAGGCAGTTACAAGCCTGCCAGTTAGCACTTATTGCTTGATTTCTGATGCTGGCAACTTGCGACCAGATTTCCAGATGACCAATCTCGCAGCGTTTGCGGAAGCTTGTCCCATCCGGACCCACGCGCGATGCCTGGCGCGATGAGGCGCGACGAAGCAGAACATGGACCGAACGTGTATGGCCCAAAATGAAGCAACCTCCAAAACACTGCACCAGGGATGTCCGAAGGAACCTCAGGATTGTGAAGTGCCAGCACCCACATCAACGGCTTTTCCCCGTGTCCGAAGCCTCAAGTGGTGCCCAAATAGCAATGGTTGGTGGAGGGGCACTTGTTGTTTGCAAGCGGTTCTTTTGTACGAGGAGCTTTGCTCAGCGGCCGATTGTGGAGCGAGTGTAAATGCTGGATTGCAGAATGACGCCTTTTAGCTGCACAATGATGCACGCCCAATTCATCCGATCACCTAAAGCTCAAACTCAAATTGACTATTGAAAGACACCACACGGTAGGCACAAAGGCCCTTTTTGAACACACCATCCCTGTGTGCCCGACATTTGACCACCTCGCAATGAGTTGCGTAGTTCAAACATTCAATTTCACGTTGAGTTGCGTGCTCTTGCAGACCGTCACACTTCAAAGCCTTTGCAAGGCACGTTGGTTTTGCCCTTGCGCACAAACTGATCCTTAGGCCTTCACATGCACGAGGAGACAAAGACGTTTCATACCGCCGTTTGTCCATATTGTGTGAACCCCCAAGTAGCCCAAGTACCCACCCGCCACATTCATCAGGTACAGGTCATGGATTCAATGGATGCCACAGCAGGGTAATATGTTTTGAAACCATTGACTGTCAACTTTTTGGAACTCAAGGGGCCGATCACTTGAACTTACAACTCTAGGCTGAGTTGTTGTCACCCACACGGCAACTCATTGATTTTGCTCACTGGCACTTGCCAAGCACAGGGCCTGGCACTAGGATCACAGGTCGTGAGGCTGGCTAGCCACCGTTGGATTCGATCCTAGGTTGGACGAAATACTGAGACTGCCTGAAGAGGGTTTCTATGATTTTAGGGGTTGGGGGGTTCTGTTTGTGTCAAGGTTTCCATAGTCTGGCCTGAAGGTGATACCGCTAATGTTGATTCACTTTGTACGCTTTGTAAGACTTAACTCCTCCAAAAGACCTTCCATTTCGGAGAAGTACAACGTTAATGGTAGTGAACCCAGGATTGATGAGCCCCAGGCTGACTAACAGGTGTGTGTGTGTGTCCAGTTTGGAGGGGGGAACCCCTAAAAAGCCAGGAGATTTCGACATTGGTTCCGGAAGGGTCGAAGGGTACCTGAGTGAGCTTCCAAGTGCCCCCCCCGCCGGATTGCCTTCAGGGTGCAGAGAGCACTGTGCGGAGCAACGGGCCCAGAGTGAGTAGCCAGATACAACACGTGCAGCGTGGTGGTTGCAAGACAGGGGCCAGGAGTCCCAAAGCATCCTAAGGCAGAAGGACTCCCAGGCTTGGAATGTGGTTTATGGGGTTGGCGATTTTGGGTGTAGACTTTGGCTGAAACTTCGAAGCGTCGAGGTTCGTAAGACTCTTAGCATGTGAGAGATCCGCCTCAGGCGGTGCGCAGCACTCTGCGGCCAAGAGTGGGGGCGGGGAGCTGAGGAGTCGGGCCCTTGCGATCGGCTTGCGATGAGGGCGTTCATATCTTCATGTTTTAAGACACACCATGCAATAAAGCTTGCGATTGGATGCGATGGGACATTTACGAACTGCAGGATATTGAGGGTTACTCTCCATTCAGTTTGTGTGGTGCGGTGTGTGCAGAGCCCATCAATGCTGGCATGAATCTGTTCGCTGAGGGGTGTGTACGTATTTTCTTGATGAGACTGGGTTGATTGGCAGTTGGCATCCTAGCAGCTAGCATGTTTAATCTTGGCTTCTACAGTGGTTAACCTTTCGCCGCGATCTTTCGCTTTGGCGTCCTTGCTCGCAGAAGCCTGAGCCGCGAGTGGCGACGTCCTCACTCTTTCCCCTAGGGTCTCATGTGGTTCGGTAATTTACTAAAGCTAGGCCAGCGGATTTAAGTACATTTTATGCCATCCCATTCTGCTCAGAAATACTTGCTCTCCCAATAACAACTGGTTTTGTCTATCAGGGAGTTGTTTGCGCAAAGTCATGGATGGAATGAAGTTGACGTACTAATTGTAACTCGCAACTGATAGCTCGTAAGCAGGCGGGCAAGCAAGCAGGCCCGATATAGGCTCAATTATGTTGAACCCGGCAGATCCAGAAGTGAAGGATTCCCTGTAAAATAGGACATCCCGCCTACTTGTTCAACCCGATGGGCTCACGAATCCTGACAGGAAAAGAAGCAGCCAGGGTACGACCCACGGACCGAGTGGTTTATTGATCCTTGTCCATTTAGTCAACAAGGAATTTGGGCCAAATTTTAATCACAAGAGATACATATTTCCATTTGAGAATTGAGAACGCACCGCATCCTTCTGCATTTTTTTCATTGGCTGTTCGAAGCGGCTTCTCAGTGCATCGTATTTTATGGCGAGCTGGAGGTAAGCCGAGCCCAGTGGGTTGCTTAGGTTGCGCTGGTTTCGGATCCCCTTTTGCCGGTGCGGGAATTGTAACATTTGAAGACACTCCGAAAACCCTCCCAAAACAAAAACGGAATCTGAACAGGGTCCCATGTCTCCCTCAAAATCCTGTGTCACTTTCAGCTTCCAACGTTTCTTTTGCTCAGGCCCGTTTTGTCTCCGGCCTGGGCAGGCTCCATCAAATGCCAACCAAATGACTCGTGACCTGCCCAAAACAGCCGGGGGGGGGGGGGGGGGAGCTGGGGGCTGACTTCACGTCGAGCTCAGCTGTTTGCTTCCGCCAGGCCCAGCTGCGCGCGGGTGCCTCCATGACGCAGGCAAGCAACTGAGTGTGTCCTCCTTGGCGTTTGATTTCTCGATTGCTTGTATGCATTATGTAGCTGTTTGTTTGCTTGTTGGCTTTTTGGCTTGTTGGCTTGTTTGTTTGCCTGTATGTCTGGTTTGTCTTGGCTTGGTTGTGGTTTGGATTGGTTGGTTGTGTGTGTGTGTGTGTGTTTGCTTGCTTGTTTGCCTGTCTGCTCGTTTTGGATTTGCAAACTCTGACCAGCGAGGATAAAACATGATACATCCTCAACCCCCGACAGCTACCCCGGCGGAAAGCTGAGGGTGTGGCGAAACAGGCGGAAAACTGAGGTTTGGATAAGGCCTGCAAATTCCATGCTAGAGTTCACGTGGGTGTGCGAAGACCTTAAACCGTGACTCTCCAACTCTCTGCCTTTGCGACTCTCAAACCTTGAAATTTAAACCACCAATCTTCGAGCAACTCTCGTGGGGCGTTCCCTGACAGGAGCGCTCCCCAGCGTCCCCCTTCCCGGCGCCGCATCTTCCAGCAGATGCAGCAGCCAAGGTGGGGAGTGGTGGCATACGTGTGATGCTTGGGGCCCGGGCCTTCAAAGCATCGACAGAAAGCGCAGACATCCTGTTGGGAGCAATGCGAGAATCCACGAAGTGGACCAGGGAGCATTACGTCTAAAGGTCAAAGTGTGCTGAGCGATAGCCTTCACAGGATGATGTGCAGCAATATATGTGTGCATGTTTTTGTGTACTAGTATGTGTACTTTATGTAGATGATCCATCGTGTACACTGACATGTACATATCTCTGACCTTGGGACACTCCAAGCAAGTGTCCACTACTGCCAAGAGAAAATGGATGTTGTACAAATATAATAATATGCATCCAGAGTGGCTCCACAATAGTTGTATACCCTTTGTTGCCTGGGGGCTTGCAGTTTTGGGGAAAGTTGGAACCTTCTTAGAGAGACCTGGGCGGTCAGGAGCCTGTGCCTCAACGAGCTGCAGAGACCTCGGGTCTCCCGATCGGAGATAGGGCCTGGGGCGTTTTAGTTTGGTATCAGAGGCCGCTGTTGTGCAATATGCGTGGCTGAATAACTCCACATTGTTCAGGACTTAAGTTGGTTTTAAAGTGCCCCCACAACCCCACACGAGTTATTCAGTTCTTGACAGTACCCAGAGTTTATGCTCAAGTTTTGCAGGGGTGCCTCCTCAATTTCCCGCCACCAAAAGGTCTGGCTCATTGGAACCTGGACAGTTGCCACTTTTGGAGGAAATCGAGTGACCCCTGTCCCAAGGTTCATCCCGAACGTTTTCTCCTAACTTCTTGGGAACCATGTGGAGATGGGCCCAAGAATTCACACAAAACCCAAGGAGACTGACTCCAATTTCCCATGTTCCTTTGGGAAGCATTCCTAATTTTGTCCCAGGGACCTTCCCTAAGCTTGATTGAATCAAAAGTTGAATCAGAAAGATCTGCAAAATGAAGCAAACGGAAGCCGCGACAGTTCCAGACGGAAGCCCTTGATCCTTGAACCGCACTGCCCAGCGACCTGCGCCTTCCGAGGACCCGGACATGTCCATCTTCAGCCCCACGGAGGAGCACCAGGTGCTTTGCCCGGGCTCGTTTTGACTGTTTCTGGGGGTCAAAGTCAGAAACTCGGGGTCGTTTCCCTTGAATCTACCACTTGGGTGACTCTGATCGTAGTAAGATACAGGGTCAGGATGCTTGCCAGCTACCCAAAGACCAGCTTACTAGTACTGGGTTCCACTGTGTTTTGTTTGCACTTGCAAGTGCTTTGCCGGTTCAGGCATTTCAACATGCCACGAGTGAAACCGCGTAAAACACGTTTAATTTGAAGCGCGCTGGACGCAGGCAATTCAATTGGGGTCGCTGATGCATGCTTTCCGGATGTTTTGCCGGCCAACCGATCGGGCTCAGATCCAGGAAGATCCCGCGTTGGAAGGTTTGTCAAATTTGGAGAGGCAATTTTTCTTCCTATTGGTGACTTTCCTACTTTTCTCGGGTCTGCCTCCCATCTAAAGCCACACATTTGCTTGCCCATACACGGGCCCTTTTGGGAAGGATGACATGTTTTGGTTTCACGGCCATTTGATATGTTTTCCTTGGCTTTCTTCTAAATGGTGTCATGTTTGGGTGGGACATGTCATGGCTGCAATAACTGGGTTTGTCGAAAAACAATGGCCCCTCTTGAACAGGGTTTGTTGTTTCCTTTGGGTTCTTGACAAGACGTGCACCAAAAATATTGCCCACCCCCCACCCCCCCCAAAACAAAAACAAAGAAAAGGAAACAAAGCCCCAGGGAGCCACACCCGGCGGTCCATCTGAGTCCCGGCGGTCTAGGCATTGCGGGAGATGGTGCGGTCCTTCACCGAGGCGGAGGTCGAGCCGCAGGCCGAAGGGGGCCGAAGGGGGCCGTCGGTGGGCGTCACGGGTTTGTGCGTATATGTTTTTGACGCCTCAGGTCGGTGTACAAGCACAATGAAGCAAACCAAAAGGAGAGCATCCATTTTGGGGCTGCGATCGCCTTAATTATTGTGGGGTCCTTTTCTGTTGGGGGGGGGGGGAAAGAAGGCATCGGCATGAACCCCTACGTGCAATCCCTTTGTTGGGCTCCACGTGGTTTATGCCCACCCATTGTGCCTTTTTTGGGCAATGCAACCATCCACGTGTGTGTGTGTGTGTGCGTTTGACAGCCAAGCCCTTCAGACCCCAAATTTTGAAGAGCCCCGGTACAAGAGAGTTTTACAGAAATTCAATTACATTTCTTGTTTATTGGGTGAGTTAACATCACTTTTCTGTGCCTTCTAGCATTTCTGTTGGTGAGGTGATATTTAAAGGCGGCATTCAAAGATGAACATCGGCCCATTGAAGGCATGCCCTTTTTCCACAGAACAACGTGTCCAGGTAGCTCACCTTGAGGTATAAAGCACCATGAATGTGCATCCTATATATAATCCTATATAAACCACTAGGGTGTAAGAAGCCCTGCGGAAAAGAGCCCCGTTTGCAAGTTGCCGCCAGGCCATCGAATTCAACAGGGCAGAGACCATGAACCTGTAGGAGCCCAAGTTCTCGCTTCGTGCCGAGATCTGGCTGTCAAAGTGTCCGAGCAGTTTGTTTCATGTGTGGCGGAGAATAAGGCACGCCAACAGCCTTTTATTTGCGGCAGGTAGAGATGATTATGGATCCTTTAGTAGGGGCAGACGACCATTATAAGGATTTCCGTTAAATGAGCATAAACCATGCGAAACATGACCATAGTCAACATAAGGAATTTCGACCTTGGAACGCATGCTTCTTGTTGTGAGTATTGATGCTTGGGCATCCGCAAGAACGTTGCGTGGACGTAGTACCATGATATGTCGCTCGCCAGAGGGCTCGCTGTTGTAGCTAATTCGCACATGTCAGTACACCGGCAGTTGACTCGCCTCAGCGAATCCAGTGCAAACGTGTACCCCGTTTGTTTGTTCGTTTGGGCAGGCTATTTCTTCAGTCAGAGGGGGAGGCCCCAAAAGTGGCTTTGTCAACAGAGCATTTGGGACCTTGCCACGTAAATCAGAATGAGTGCAGCGGATTCCTTGATATGTTTAGTAGTTTTGCCTCCAAATGGGACCGCCCCCCCCCGCATCTTCATTTTTGGTTCCCTTTTGGTTCCTGCTTGTTGCTGGCTCAACGTCTTTCAGGGGTAATAACACGAATGACCCAAGCCAATTGAATGAGTCCCTGCGGTTTGATTGGCACAGAAGCCCGGTGCGCACGCTTGGCTCAGCTGTATCCTTGGGGGGACACTTTGGGCTAAGAGAATCCCCCAGTTGGCATATGGCTGTTACTCTGAACTTCTGTACCCAATGTACACATGTATCTAGGGGTCCAACTGCGTCCATTGCCAGTGTCAGAGCTACGCCCTTTTTTTGCTCGCTCCTCGCTCAGGGTCGATTTCCTTTCCAGGTAAACGGGGTTGTGTTTTGGTTCGGGTATTGCCTTTTGTCTTTAAGGGGTTTCTTGACCAAAGGGAACCCAAAATCCTTTGCCGGGTCCAAATCCGTATCTTGGTACACCCAGATGGATCCACTGCATTAAGGCCCCTCTTCCAGAAGCTCGGGGAGTTGGGGCTCCTCGGCGTCACGGTGCCGGAGGACGGACGGATGGACGGATTGACCGATGGGCGTGTTCGCCCACGCCTGGAGATCAAGTTCCTTGTTTTTGCAAACTTGCCAGGAAGCCATCCCCCAAGAGGTTGGTTTCCCGCTATGACCAGCTAAACAGGGATGAGGTTTCGTCCAAAATGCAAGTCAAAACAATCCCTTTTCCATGACCTTCACGAAAAAAAACTGCAAGGCTATGGGAGACCTACGTGTCGTGCCATCTGAGTCACAATTGCTCAACACAGGCCCTGACAATCTACCAATCCTCGCGCCCAAATAGACATCAGAACGACACTGAAACCGGCACTTCCGCGACGCTTCTGTAAGGCATTTCGTCCAGTACTTCAGAGCGACATTTGACGTCGACACCTTTGTGGCGGTTGGAATCGATATCTCTGACTGATTTCATCCGAGTGGCACTTGAGATCGGATTTTGTTCGACACTTTTGTCCGAGACATGCAACGCACGAGTCTGCAAGAGACGTCCCTCGTGTCAGACTGCTGAACGCCACTTGGGATCGGCACTTCTGCCCCTTTTGCCCTCGAGGTTTTGAGCCATTTGACATTCAAGAGTGACCACTGTGCCAAATGTGTCAGATGCGCATGCCACTTGATTTCTAGTGGAGAAGCTGTTGTCCGTTCGCATGGTTCTTGCCGAACTTGTGTCATTGATAGACATGCCTGTCTTCATGTTTCATTTGCAGAGCACCTACTGGGCCTGTCAGCAAGCAAACTGCATCCGTTCCAAGCTCCAAACCGCAAACCGAACGCGACCCCGCACTCCAACCTCCCGAAGGCGCAGTCGGCGAGCTGGAAGTCTAGCACGAACTCTCTTCCCGCACCCCGCTACCTCAATTCATAGTATTCGCTGGGCTTGCTAGCGGAGTCGGCAACAGCCAATGGACAGGGCCAACAATGACTTGAGTGAATGATTGCACGCGCATTCAAGCAAAGCGACTCGAAGCATCATCAATCCAATCGGCTTGGAACAAAAAGAACACCCCCTGCGAAGGATTGTTTGGCCAATGTTGTCGGGGATGCCTCTTGGAGGTGCGGTGTCTCCTAAACAGACCAGGAACATCAAGCATCAAACGGCTAGGTACGAAGATGAACGGTTGCAAGTTTCAGCGCCTACCAACGTCTGGGCTGAAATCCCCATGTCAATGGTTCCCACCAATGGGTGCTGAGTCAATAAAAAACATACCCAGGTGTGTCTCAAATTCACGCAGCCCTCGCTTGGTTTCCCAGCCAAGAGAGGTTCCCAACTTTGAGCCGGCATCTTGAAATTGAAGATCGCCAACGTGCGCTTCTTTGTTCAGGTGTCAGACGTCGAACTTTGTGTGAGTAAATGTCTTCATGATTTGAGTAAATGCCCAGAAGGCTTAGTATTTTTTGGCTGGTCATTCTAGGGCTGGGGGAAGTGCAAGAGATTATTTTGGCGACTGGTGGATTGGTTTTTGGACTTCTTTTGTAAAAGCCACCATCTTCCTGGGGTTCTTCCCGACTTGACAAACCCATGTTGGGTCAAATCACTAGCAGTAGTAGCCCATGGTTGATTCGGGAAGGACCTTGCCAAGTTTCCCATAGCAACCAGGAGTTTCGACCATGGCCATGGGTGTAAAGTGACTGAACAGCTGAACTGCCAGTTGTTGCAAAGCAGCTCCTGCGGAATGTGCTGTTTAGCGCCTGGACTCCCCAGCCGTGCAGGGTGGGTGGGGCGCTGGGTGGGTCAGTTGATGGGTCTGTCGGGGGGGTCAGTGAGTGACTGACAGTATGATCTCATGTGGATTGGTGTTGTCATATCAAGTTTGGGCGTTGCCAAAATGGGTGGCGCTCCGGGGCGACCTTAGAAGCAGTGCCATCAATTGAATGGTTTCGGTTGGATAATTGTCAATCCTAATTCCGAACTTTGACAATCTACGACCGTATTTGATTTGGGACTTCAGGCTGAGATGAGCTACTTGGCTTTTTCATTGCCTGTAAACATGTTTGCAACACTAAATTGCTGCTGGGGAGTGTTCGTTCTCAGAGTGGTTTGTCTCTAGTCTATTTCCAGAATCAGCGATTCCCTTTGGTTCGTTTGTAAGAGAGACCAACAAGGATATCCTCAAGGGAATCACACCCATGCCATGTTTTGCCAAGGACTTTGATTGTGCCAAGTCCGTTTTGGAAATGAAACGGTACTGTAATGCCTGGAGTTGGTTGCGTTGCTGCTTTATCCAGGTGGTTTGTGTTTCGAACCACCATCTGTTTTTCCAAAAGGACACCTGGGGTTGGTGAATTTTAAATAATGTTCAACCACTTTGTCTCTGTCGCTTCTGATTCGCAGGAGTATGGCGGCAGCGGGATGGATGCCACTGCCGCAGTCATCGTCCATGAGGATTGTGCTGCGCGTGGCGACGTCTCCACTGGGTATGTCTCCAAGCCGTTGGGTGTCTTGTGTTCTCGGAAAAAAGTGGTCTACTGATCCAAAAGGGATCCACCACAGGCTGGGTTTAAGACAGAGACTGCCCTTAAAACAAGCCCGTGTGAATCTTGGCATCGTTGCCGCGCAGACTATCCGACGCAGGCTGTGGCCGTGGAACCCACCAGGGGAGCAAGGAGAACAGGTTTACTTTTGCGGGACTTAGATTGGTTTGTTCCAAACATCAACGAACTAAAATGGGTGTTTCTCAAAATTGGGGGCCCCTTCAGGCGGTTGGTTTCCTTGTGATTGTTGAGACAGACCAAAACCTGTTTGGGTAAAGGACCTTCACACTTGCCCTGCTGGCAAGCGTTCTCAATTTTGGGACTTTTTGAGGTGGTTCATGTCCTTTTGATCTCCCTTTACACAAAGCCAAAACAGCATGTCATGGGTTCTTATATTTCTCTTAAGTACCAGTGGAGAATGTCGGGACCCTTTTTGAGGTTGTAAAGGACACTGAAAAGACAAACCTTGGGTCCGCATACGTTGACACATAATACAGTATGTGCCCTTTTGGGGGTTGGTTCACAGGAAAGCCAAAGGCGAATCACTACCCATGTATATAATTGTAAACGCTGCGCGTTGCCCGCCTCGGCCAAGCCGAGCGCGCAGCGTTTGTGGGTCGACTGCAAGCAGCAGAGCTGGTCAAGTGGCGATGCATGGCTGAGGTTCTGGCGTCGTAGGATCAATTGATGTCATGGGCCCGCAGGAATCCCCGGGACAGGGCGAGCTGGGCTGGGCCTTGCTTGGGTTGGTTGGTGGAGGGCCTGGGCTGGGCGGGCTGGGATGCGCCTTGCTTGGGTGGTTGCTGAGGCAAGTCTCAGACACTGGGCTGGGCCCGAGGCTAGTCTCAGACATGAGAGTATGCCAGGTTGAGACGAGCCTCGTTTTACTTCTCCCTTGCTTGGGCTGGGCGTGAGAAAGGAGAGAGAAGAGAGAAGAGAGGAAAGAAGAGAGAGGAGAGAGGAGGGAGGAGAGAGGAAGGAGAGAGGAGAGAGGAGAAAGGAGAACGGAGAGGAGAGGGGAAAGGAGAACGGAGAGAGGAGAGAGGAGAAAGAAGAGAGGAGAGAGGAGACGAGAAAGGAGACAGAGAAAGGAGACAGAGAAAGGAGAGAGGATGTTGGCTTGGGCAGGCTGATGTCGGGATGGTTGGCTGGGTGGCTGGATAAATGGAAACGCTGCGTCGGCTCTGCGCGGCTAATTCGCCACCTTGTGAGCAGGTATGCATGGACCAGCGGCACCAGCAGTGCGACTCACTGGGCCTCTCCATTGTTCAGCCGCGAAAACTCAAGCAATACGATCCAACCCGTGGGGTTGAACATGGGGTGAGTCAAAAATCCAATATTACGCGGATCAGAGCTTTCTCAGGTTGATGGCTTCAGATCCATCCTTGCATCGGCTTCAAAGATTTGTGGAGGATGTTAGGCAGCCGGACTGCTGGGGGCTGGCTGTGCGTGGGTTGCTGGTCGGGCTGGGCCGTGAGGCTAGTCTCAGACAGGTCAGACAGGCCTGGCCAGCAGGAGGCCAAAAGATGATTCTCAGCACATTTCCAGCTAGACCAAAGGAGTGGGCCGCAGAAATTTTGGGCGGGAAGGGGGTCCTTGACCTGCTTGGGGCCGAGGCGAATATATTCATACACATCCTATATTCACATGTAGCCGTATTACAGACCCACACCTTTTCGAGAAATTTTTGTCCATGCCTTGAGGAGTTGGCCTCCTCGGATCCGGCCTTTTGCCTAGCGTACCTTGCAGGGAAGCCCAGGCAGCTGTTGCGGGCTGGTTGGGTTGGCTGTGTGTTTCTTAGTTTGTTTGGGTTGCTTTGGTTGGGGTTGTTCGCTTTGTTTGCTTGGACTTTGATTTGCTTTGGCGGGCTGGAAGTTGGTTGGGCTTGGCTTGTTTGGATTCAGCGCTTGGTGCGTCTTGGTTTGGTTTGGTTTGGTTGTTTTGCGTCATGGTTGGCTTGGTTGCACGTGGGGGTTTGCATGGCTGGGTTGGGTTGCTGCTTTGGGTGTTGCTGTTTTTTTTGGTTGTGTCATTGGTTTGGTTGGGTAGTATTCGGCCCAGATCAAAGATCGGGCCGCCCACGTCTGGAGACGGCGGTTGGGTAAAGCTTGTGGTGTTTGGGGTGTCAGACGCGAAGGAATCTCAGAAATCACAAAGGTACAAATTGTAGCGCTGAACAAGCTTGCTTTTGGCGGCTATTCAACGGATGCATGTGATGATTTCTTGGTATCGTTGGAACTCTTTCTTTTGGCGCACTGTTTGGGGGGGTCATATTTGGTGATTACAACGAACCAGGCCTTCCTTGTCCAGCAGCAAGAAGCCAGTCGAGCTAGAGCCAGCGTGTTTTGTCACTGACTCCCATCCTCTCTTAGTGCCATGATGGAGAAGTTGGAGAGCTCCGGGTTGCTCGCAGTCGCTTCCCAGATGTGGAGCCATGGCTGCTCTTGGGCGATTTGTTTATCTTCAACCTTTTAGAAAATACATTCTGTTCGTCCAACCTTCACTTTTCGGAGGGGGTCAAGAACCAGCCCAGGAGCAACCGCAAGGCATGCTATCCTTATTGCAGAGCCCTTCGGATCACATTCCTCTTTGTCGTGGGACAGCTGGCTATTGTGACAAGCTTGACCAGCATAGATCCAGACAGCTACCAACCTTGCAACAGCGATTTTGGCTGTGTCTATATGCGCTTGTTCACATCCAGGCACATCGCAACAACTAAGGGCTTCTTTGCAAATGTGCGGAACGGCAACAAGGACATTTTGACATCGTGGCAAATTGCCAATGAGGATGGCATCGGGAACTTGGACTTTGTCCAGCCGGTTGCCCTCAAGGAGATCGATACGAATGCAGAAGCACTCATGGCAACGCGCGCGGCCTATTCAATGTTTTTTGCCACCTGGTTTGACAGCGGAGAGGCCCAGCAATATCCTGCTCTTTGTGCAAACATGACCGAAGAAGCCATGCAGACATTGTGCGCAGGAAACCGCAGTGTAAAGCTCAACATTGTCAATCACTTGCTGGCAGGTTCCGGCAGAACCGGTTTTCAGTTATGCACTGTGCTGTGGGGATGTTCAGTACTACTCCATGATTGGCTTGTGCTTGTCGGAAGCCGTCAGAGCTGGTCCTTGTGTTGTGGCTTTGTGTCGCTCATTCTGAAAGGAACTGCTGCCGCGACAGTGTTGTTCTGGGCTTTTGGAGCAACACAGGCATTTACATCTCCGCTGAAAGATCAGGGCGCATGTGCCTGCTACTACCAGATGCCCGGAGTTCAAGCCTTGCTTTTGTTGTCGAGTCCATTCCTGTTGATGCCAGGCGTGTTAGATCAGCTTGGCCTTTGGGTGCGCACAGTCATCTACGGAGACGTGGCGCATTTGCATGCATGTTGTGTGTGTGGGTGTTTGTTTCTATGGGGCCTGTCAGTGATGGTCGGTAGCTTTCTAGCAGCAGCACCAGCACCAGCACCATGACCACCATCAAGAGCAAAGAGCACAAACAAGAACAACAGCAAATGCAATGACCGTAGCAGACGACAAATTTCATCAACCAGGACAGCAAGCAACAAACAACAAACACCATGCACAAGAACGCAATCACCAAGGAGCCGGATTGCTGTCAGATGCCTTGCGTGTCGCTATATCAGCGCGTGGCAGAAGGTAACAAACACGAAGTGTTTGGTGTGCATACGTACACCAAACTCATAATCATGGTCCTGTGCAAAGTCTCTAGCAAGATCTGTGTACAAGCTCGCTTGGGAGTTTCTCGATGGGCAGTCCTCTGCAAGATGTGGTTGCAAGAGCTCTACACAAGATCAATGGTTGGTCCTTGCGCAAAATCATGAACGACAGCTCTTGGACAGGATCCCTACGGAAGTTCTTGAAGAGATCACCTGAGGATTGCCTTGCATGTTGAGTAGCTGGTTGGAGTAGGGATGCGAATGCGCATGAAGCCTCCGGATGCAACTAGGGCCAACGCCCCACCACTTTGAACTCCTGCTTTCTTTTGCCCCCCTCATGTACGAACTTCCCATCCATAGTCCTATCGAAAGGCTACGCGTGCTCTCCAGCTTCTTGACGAGTGGGGGTTGTGGATGACCAGGACCCCCCTTGCTTCTGGACTGGCTTGCAGGAGGCGCAGGAGCTTCCAGCACGTGATGTTTTGGCCTGAAGGTATGCTCCAGCGCGACATTCGGGTAAAACTATAGGCGAAAGACCTCGATGCACTCCTGCCATATCAGACGACGCGAGGCAGGCTTGCCAGGAGGCTTTGGCTACGCCGCCGCAGAGCCACGTCTGGCGATGCGAAGCTGCGCCAGGAGAAGCAGGAGACGTTAACCGTGAAACCCAGCGTCCACGAACGATGTTAGCCATCCACTGTCGTAAAGTGACCCTTGTTTGACTCGCGCAGCGGACTCCATCCACGCAGACAGTTCTGCAGTGGAGTTGCTGTCATGAAGATGAATGTGGGGGACAGAATGTAGGGAACAGTTTGTTCATGACTTTGTCCTCCTGGGCCAGTTTTGCGCTCTTGACGGATTCAGTCGGTTTTTGTCGGCTTTTGTCGGGAACTTGTCATTTTCAGCGTTTGGCTTTCGCTCTTGTTTGTTCATTTTAGCTTGGTGCTTGCTGTTGGTGACGTTTGTTGCTGGTTGTTTGTCGTGTGTTGTTTGTTTGTTTGTTTGTTTGCTTGCTTGCTTGTTTGTTTGTTTGCTGGCTTGAATGCTTGCTTGCTTGCTTGCTTGCTTGCTTGCTTGCCTGCTTGCTTGCTTCCTTGTTTGTTTGTTTGTTTCTTTTTGGTTTGCTTGTTGCTTGTTTGTTTTGGTTGCTTGATTGACTGTTTTCATTGGTTGATTGACTGATTGATTGATTGATTGATTGACTGACTGACTCACGGACTGTTTGATTCATTCATTCACTCACTCACTCACTCACTCGCCCATTCATTCTTTCATTCAGTCAGTGAGTCAGTGAGTCGCGCACTCATTCATTTCAAGCATTGCATTCATTCATTCATGTCATGTCATGTCATGTCATGTGATGTCATGTCATGTCATGTCATCCATCCATTCATTCATTCATTCATGCATTCATTCATCCATCCATCCATCATTCATCCTAGCAAATGGGCGATGCCGATGCCCATTAATGCACATGGACTATCCGCTCGAGGCGCACAAGAAAGACACACGTCCAATACTCACACTCACTTTGTTTTAGCGGCGGATGGGCTTTTATTCCATGTGTATAGCCCACGCAGGTTTACGGTGCAACCTCGAACTGGCCTTGTTTCTCTACACGCTGATTAGTGAGGTTGTCAGGTATCACGTTCAGAATGTTCAAACAGGAATCATACTATTCGTAATGTCTTTGCTTGATAGCTCAGCTTGGACTTGTCACTTTTGAACAGCCCGGGTCAACACAGGCAGTATATCGGTGGATGCTTAGCTTGTGCGAAATTGGCGGAAACTACGTGGATGGCTTGACATGTTGGTTAAATATTGAAGGCGTTTAGCAGAAAAAAACTTAGACCAACTATGACCAAATCTTGAAACAACGGCTGTGCAATTCGTAATCGCTTTAAATGGTCAAATTGGGGACCGCGCCCAGGCGCGAGCCATAATACGGGTCATCATCAATTATCAAGCATGTATTAGTCAGGGTCGCTATCACGCTTGCCGCTTTGGGCTCTGCTTCAAAAACACATGCTTCGTCGAGTTAGACAGTTTTTGCTTTGCCAAGACAAACTAAAGCGAAGTAAACTCTTCCCCAAAGCAAGTGTATACTTACAACCAAGGTGACAACTTTGCTACCTCGGCTGCAGATTATCGTGTCAGATCAACAGGCGATGGAAGCGTGATTCCCGTATTCTTAATTGCCCAACGAGCGCCTTGAGCATGTTCCGTCCTCGAGCTTAACCACTCAAACCAGTCCAAGCTTATGACACCCCCACAAACAGCTGCTTGACTATGTTCGCACGATGGATGTCATGTAATGTATGTAGTTAATGCATGTTTGTATGTTATGTGTGTAATTATGTACCAGCCGAGGCCAAGACCGGTCAAATTCGAAACGCGTTTTAAGGGCCCTTATGACGCGCTTCGTTTTTAAGCTCTGTCAGGCAGCTTCTGTGGTTGACTCTTCAAGCCCGCTTGCGCCTGCAGTTGAGCTCCGGACAACTGATTTGGTTTTTGCGGGCGTCGTGGTATGGTGGGTTTTTGCTTCACACGAGGGGCGCGATGAATGTTGAGCGACTCGTACAAGTGTGCGCCCCAATATGTCTACGTTAACACGGTGACGTGTCTTGTGGCTATAGATCTGTTTTATGGTTTCGGCCTGGCTGACCCGTTGCAGTTGTGCGAGCTACAACTATACATTAGCAGAGCTTGACTAAGCTTGGATTTCGATGCATCGGCATACTCGGCAAAGAGGCCATGCGGCGCCACAACTGGACTCATGTTATCGCTATTTGTTTGCTTGCTGGTTAAGAATCTATACATGCACATGCACATGCATATGTGTATGTGTATACATGCATGTGTATATATATAGACATATATACTGCGCACGCAATACTCCTTTACGATGGAAGGCCGCACATGAACATGCATATGGAACATACATTCCGTGTAGGATATTTCGAATGTATGTAACCCGTGAAGCCTGAAACCTAGTCGCGAGAAATGCACGGCTGTTCTTTGCGCACGGGTCTTTGGCCCTAGCTAGAACTGTCCGAAAGAAAAGACCGCCAAGACCTTAAATATGAAGGCCTGTGGTCCCTAGGTGTAAATTTCTGCGGAGACTAAATTTAATTCCGATCTGACCGTAATTCTGCGGAGAGGTAAAATTGACGACGATCTGACCGTAATTCTGCGGAGAGGTAAAATTGGTGACGATCTGACCGTAATTTCTGCGGAGACTAAATTGATTACGATCTTACCGTAATTTCTGCGGAGAAGTAAAATTGATGACGATCGATCTGACCGCAATTCTGCGGAGACTAAAATTGATTTGACCGTAATTTCTGCGGAGATTAAAGTTGATTGCGATCTGCCCGTAGTTGCGCGGAGACTAAAATTGATTGCGATCTGACCGTAGTGAAGCACAAGGAGGCAGAGTCATAATACTGCTGCCATGTCCCTTCTTCGGGAGTCTGTACAACAATTGACACAGAAGATGTGCTTCGAATTTCACACACACACTGTTGCTTTCATCATCTACATCGGCTTCTTCACGTTCTCCAAGCAATTGCTGTGCCCTATCCCTGATGGAACTGGCGCTGAGCATTCCTTCTGCAGCCACTGGCAGGGCAGCTGAAGAAGCAGAAGAAAATCTTTTCTCACCAGACAAAGGAGATTTCACCAGACACACATGGGCCAGCGCAGCTTCCGTTATCTGCCCAAAAGTTTTGCATTCTCCTGCAGAAAGCCCAGGAAAAGCTTCTTGTGCGCAAAGCTGCAGAAACCGAATTGTCTTCCGACCTTCGATCTGCATCAGAGCTTGCAAACCGGATTCAAAATTCCCACGCAAGTCATCAGGGTCTGACACAATATATTTTGCTGAGACAGGCCCTCCAGGCATCTTTTCTTGTTGTAGCTGAGACATGGCTGGCTAGTCACTAAGGAGCCAAGACAGCTATCAACACCAAACTACATGCAGGGCCTTGTATTTTGTTGCCTCCCTCCCTCCCTCAATTGCTCCCTTAAAACAAGCTTTTAAAAACAGACCCGTAACTCAAGCCTCAATTAGAGGAATACACCCTTATATTATAAGGGTTGAGTTTTTAAGGGTCTATTGGGTGCTCTGGGTGGACCCGCATCGGCGTTTACGGTACGGCGCGGGTTGTTTGCGCATGTCATTCGCGCATGTCTGTGGGGCAGGTGTATAGCATTGTAGCCAGGTTGCGCCGTAATCTCCGCTGCCTTTGTGCCTCTAGCTTGCGTTGACAGTGTGACAAGCCTTTGTCGCCCAGGCTGCACTTGCAAGGTCTAAGAGCCTTGGAAGAAAGCTGGGCGCGAGCTGGTACGAAAAACGAAGGCTGAACGAAGTCAAAAACGAAGGTCTATTTCACGAACCAGACCGTTTCGTGAACATTGGCGAAAGCTTGTGAAAAGGGTCCCGCTCAAAAGGGAAGCCTGTCGTTTCATGCACTTTTGAGCCAAGTCATCGCTACCAGAAAGACATCGCTTACAAGACGCTGCTAGGGTCGTTGTGCTCTAGAAAGACTTCCAGCGAGGAGGGAGCTGTTGTATGGTGCCTTTCCCAATAGCACGGCCGGTTTTCGAGACACTTTTTGGAGACATAGCGAGGAGAACTCAGGGTGCACGGGCGCTTTCGGACTCTGACGGCATCCAAAACGAAGACGAGTCTTTAAAACGAAGGCTTGAGAGGTATTCCAGTTTTGCGCACAAGGGTTTTGGCGGCAGCTCTAACTGATTTCGCCCCTCGCTGAGGAGACTGCTTGTATTTCCAGCCTCACCAAGTTCCTCATCACGTTGAGCAGCAGTGCGAGAGCTGGGCTGACGGGCACCTCATGATGTGGCGCAGTGACGTGCGCGCCAACACTCAGCCAGCACACCCTCGTTGGTATTGGTTCTACAAGGTTGGTATGCATATCTTGCTTATTCTCTACTGCATTTTGTGCATGCTTGTGATTGCTCCGCTTGCCCCGGGCATCGGGGTCAGAACAGAAGAAGTGGTTGCACAGTTCAGGCAGTCGGATGAATCAAGTTGGATTTACTACTTCATGGACTGGTGTGTATGGGCACTTGTGTTTGTGGTCATGGCACCTGCGCTACTTGTACTGTGGGCCATGATCTTCGAAAGGAGGGCATGGACAGATTTTCAACACGAATCTCGGTGTGTGAAAGCCGTCCGCATCGTAACGTGTGGCTTGTACGGGTTGTTGTGTTTTGTATGCTTGGTCCTTTCCTTGATACCTCCGTCAAGTGGTTTGCCACTTCGAACAGAAGTCCTTGTACGCGTAGAGCGACGAGCGATTAGCTATTTCTATGGCGTGGCCCTTACGATGCTAATTGCTGCCGTTTGCTTTGTCTTCAAGGAGTACGTGTCTCAGCTGGCAACCATTCAAGGATCAGGTGCGATGCGGAGCCAGAAGGACTTTATGGAATTTGCACAAGAACATCCACATCTCTTCATGACTTTCAGCACGCTCGCTCACATGAAGTCGAAAGCATCCGATCTCCTGCCAGAGGACAGCGATCAACAGGAGGAGGCTGATCAAACATGGAAAAAACTGGTGCAGTCATACAAGGAAGGAACCTTGCCACATGCATTTCTAGCTTAGCCACGGAATGATGAGCCATCCAGCTGCTTACCATGAATGTTGTAAGGGAAGTGCGTTGTGTTTTGTAATGTTCGAAATTTACGTCACAGCTGGCCCTGGCGGCTGGATTAGTTGCGTTCTGTTTTGGTGACGCGCATTGCCCTTTCTAAGTCTCACATCTCAGGCCGGCATTCACGAGCCAAGCTCATTTTTTGGACGAGGGCTAATGTTGATTCTTACTGTATTGCCTTAGTGGTGGCTGATTTGGAGAGAATCCTTTAACCAGCTGCGGGTGCAGGGCAGGGTTCGAGCACGGCTGCCTTGGCCTTCTTGTAACTGATTCACATCTCCCTGTTGGCTCCCAGAGCCAGCGAGAAGCCATCGAGTTCGTAGGAACTGTCCTGAAGATCACTAGAAGATTTATTGGTACCCCTTCTGTGGCCGGTTCAGAGGCAAAACAACAGGACACAGCCAATCTTGGGCTCCCCTTTCAGTTTCAAAACCAATCGGAACTTTGGAAGACCGATCAGATCCCATTGAGCCGTTGGGGTGGATCCAAGATGCGTTCGAACGGCAGAAATGCCAGCACACGTTCACCCAATCTTGGTTAAGTTGTTTCTGAGCTCGGTGCGGATCCCATTCCTTTTCTGATATTGAGGTTTGTCTCAGATGAAGGCCCCTCCAAATGATTGGTTTCCTTTGCTTTCGTTGATTCCGGAAGCTTCAAACGAGCATCAGGCAAGTGCAGAAGATAGTTGCTCGGCAACGTTATGCTATTTAAATATACACGTGTGTTACATGTAAATACATCCTGTGTTGAAGACATATATGCAACATAAATTTGATATAAGCACACATGCTTGGCGCTTGAACAGGATGATATCTTCTGCGCAGATGCATGTTTCTCGGACTCCAGAAAAGGAGTTGGCCTCCCCGCAAGAGCTCAACACAGTACTTCTTTGTACGACCACTTGGGCTGGATCCGAGGCAACGCCCGAATCTTAAACTCAGATGTGAGCATGCCAGCCTATGTTGACCCATTGGGCTTCCGACTCAGTTTTCTCCGAGTTGCTGGGTGCCTTATCCATTCCACCACATTTCAGGCATTGCCTTGCTTTTGCGAACTGTCGCTTCTTCCACCTACGCCGCCAGGGTCTGTTTGGGCCCATTGAAACGGTGGATTGGCGGAGAAGCTGCTGCGAAAATAGAATCAAGCGCGCAAAAGATACTTCCAGGCAGATTGTGACCAAGGACTTCTTTGTGATGGCGTAAGGAAACCCGCCGTCACACATTCTATCAAAATTGAACGACATTTTGCCGTTTCGCTTCCGTAGATGAATGAAGACTAGAACACCAATTCGGGAGGGTTCGCAGCTTCCACATGACGGCGGCACGCTGTTGCGACGCGTTCTACGTGTCCCATCAAAGGAAAGAAGGCATCCCGCGATTGCCAGCCGGGACATGCGCCCGGACAAGTGGAAGTACCCCACAAGCTTGCTTTCTGCTGCCAACATTAGCAGTCGCACATTGGATTGCTTTTTTCTGGACTCCTGCGCCCGCCAGAACTTGTGTTTACCGAGCTTGTTGCATTCCGGCAAGCGAGCAACTGGCTTGCCCCTTTCAACTAAACTCTGTCCACTTTCTGCTGGCGAGCCATGAACCTGTGCCATTAGGAGCATTACGCCATCATCTAAAGATGCACATACCCCTCACACGGCGTTGAGACAGGAAAGCGAATTCGGTCTTATCAATGTGTCCTCGTTTTGTCTCAGAACTGCTCTGTTTCATATGAGGCCACTGCCGTGTCTCTTGCCCCTCGCAGGCTCACAGCATGCTCTTTGTCAACAACTTGGCCCGCAACGGCAGCGAGGCTCGATTTGGGATTTAAATGCTGCCTTACACATGTACACGTTGCAGCTTGCCTGCTTAGCTTGTTCGGCCGACTCCACGGCTTGTCCCCTGAGCCAGATTCAACTGGCAGCAAGCACTCTTCGGTGGGAGATCATGGTAGTCAAGAATAACTTCCTTATTGCCCACGGTGTGTATCTGCGTTGGGCCGAACAGCCGATTGCCTGATGGTGTCACATGTTGTTCGCTCATCCGCCGTAACTGCTGTGGCAGAACAGCTGCGTTTGTTGTCTGCTAGGTCCAGAAGACTCCGTTGTAACCAAATGATAATTTCCAGGGGCATCCAATGTTGGAACCGCAAGGGAATCAACTATAGATAGGTCAACGCTGTAGCAACGCATGGGCTTGGGTGTGTTCAATATTATCCTGGAAGTAGGTGTGCGCCACGTAATTTCGCGCCTTGCACGCCTAGGATCCGCCAGCATACCCGACACTCTCGGACATTTGCCATTCTTGCCTTCTTGTCATGATCTTGCAGCAAAACATATGAGATTCACATACAAATTGGGCGGTGGCACGTTGGTCTCTTGTTAATTATTGAGTTTCATCATGTTTCATCCAAAAGGGATTAGTATTTGTTGGACCCTCTAAGTAGCTCAGTATGCTTGATGCCCAAACCGTCCATGTCCCCCGCAATGTGTCTTGTGGTATTTCCTTGTTCACATCATCAGGTGGAGAGCGTTTTGAAGGGATGCCCTCTTGCGCGTCCTCCTCCTCCTCCTTCTCCTCAATCCCCATATGTTTTTCCCCAACAGCAGAAAGCTTTGGGGTCTCAGCCCAGATAGGCTCCGGGGTGGTCCGGGGCGGCCCTGAGGTAAGGTTCCACGAGGGTTCCACCAGGGTTCCACGAGGTTCTGCGAGGGCTGCGGGGTGGTGCGAGCACTA